CTCCCCCTCCCCCCTCCGCCTCTACAGAAGCGGCGCTACCCAACCGCCGCCCCCCGCCCCCCCACCGCTCGCCCCGCCCCGTCCCGTCCCCGGCCCCCCCCTCCACACACACACAACACTCCGCTCCAGCCGCCCCTCCTGCTAGTCCCGCCCGTCGGCGTGCAACGTCACCAGCCCACGAAGGGGGCGGGAGTGCGGGCTGGAAGGCGGGGTCATCCAACGCGGCCCTCCAATGACAACGTCGCATTAGCGTCCCTACGCTCCCTCCGTTCCCTTCCTGACTTACAAAGCTCGGTCTCCTGTCCACTAGGTGGCGCTGCCTCTCTCTCTCTTGGGTCATAGAGTTACTCCTCCGATAAAGGTAGAGCGACACTCCGCCCAACTCAGCATTGACGCCGCGGCGGCCATATTTAATGATGGAAAAAGGGGCACGGGGGGAGGAGAAACTATTCTTCCAGCTTCCGGTCACACGCCTTACGCTTTCCCTTCGCCCAGCCTCCCTGTTTCCCGGGGCAACGGCTAGTGGGTAGAGAAAGTGACCGGTAGGTGACGAGCTGCCCCAAGAAAGGAATGCTAGATGACCTGACGTTCTGCGTTAGACGTGCCAGTTCAGACTTTCCACCGTCAGCCCCGTGTGGGGCAGGTGTCCACACACTTGGGTCACGCAGCTCCAGGTCTCTGGTGCCCTTACCTCGACGGACTAACTAGAGCGCGGGGATGGGAAGCCTATCCCAACCGGAAGTCGTCTCACTGCCTTCCGGGTCGGGAGCGGAGAGGGTTCTGCAGCCGTAGTACCCCTCCCCCAGGGGGCGCCCAGACCTGAGCAGGACTGGAACCCAAAGGTGAGCGATGGTCCGTCCCAGGGGCTGGGGGGAAGCCGAAGGTCAGTGCGGGACACGCTGGACCGTTGGAGGAGGAGGAGGAAGAAGAGGCGGACGGGGGAGCTACTGAGCGCCGGCCCGGTTGGATGGGCGGCTCCTGTCTTCCGGTGGGAGGGCGGGCCGCCGCTCGGGCCGCTCCCAGCTCCCCGCCTGCCTCCTAGGCTGCCCCGGGAGGGTCAGCCCCGCCTCCCCGAAGCGCCCCATTCTGGGAAGGCGGTTCTCCGCCCATCCCCCCCCGCCCGCTGCTGCCGCCGCCGCCCGGAAGAGTAGGGGCGGGGCCGGGAGGCCGCGACTGAGGAGTTAGGGCGGTGGGGTGGAGCCTGGACGGTGACAAAATGACCCCCGTTTACCCCCTCTCCGCCCTGTCTAGGAAGGTGTTGGTAACGCCCTGTAAGAGGGGCGTAGCGGTCTTTGCAACCTGCCCACTCAGTCAACTGAAGAGGATACCAAAGTCCCTAGAGGGCCCTCACCTCCTGCATCTGGCCAAGCTAGGACTGGGAGGGGTCGGGGCTGGGGAAAGGCGCTAATAGCATTTCTTTCTCACACTCTCCCACAGACCTAAGATTTGTCCTTTTATGAAAGCAAACCGCCCCTCTCAGCAGTCTGTTCTTAGATATGAGAGAGAAAATCCAGTTGCACAGATACCGAGCACCTCTTTAAGTGCCGGGAGAGACTTAAAGATGAGTAAAGACGGTTTGGGCCCTCAAGGAGCCTTGCAGGGTTGGGATGGGAGGGGGCTTGGAAAAAAGTTAAAGCAAGGGTACCAGGAATGGTGAAATTGTTAGTTTACTTTCCTGGTCTGAGCTGGAATTTCCCCATTTGCAAAATGAAAGGGTTGGATTTTTAAGTTCTCTTCCAGTACAGATGTCTGATGCTTCAGTGAATGCTTACTGCTGGGGGTTCAGAGGAGGGAAGAGATGATCTTTAATTGGGAGAATGAGAGAATACTTCACAAAGGATGAGTTGGATTTTGATTTAAGGTGGAAGTAGAAAAGTGGTAAGGGGATACATTCCAAATAGAAGAAACAGCATGAGCAAAGAAATGGGAAAATGAAGATGGGGGAGGCAGTGGGTATGTTGGCTAACTGCACATTCAGTATACTGGACTGATGTTCCAGTCCAGTAAAAGACATATGTTCTCCCCCACCCTGACTCTATCACTCCTTATTTGAAACTTTTACAAATCCTTTCATCTCTCTAGGCCTCTTATCCTACCAGTGAAAAGAGGTAGTTTCACTAAAAAGCCCTTTCAAGTCTGATCCTCTTAGGGGGGAAGGGTAGAATTGTGGAAGGCCTTGGATGCTGGCTGAATAGTTTGAACTTTATTCCCTCTAGACAGTAGAGAACCATTGAAGTTTCAGTTTTTTGACCAAGAGGAGTGGCATGATCAGAAATTTGCTTTAGGAAAATTAATCTGTGAGCAAGGAAGATGTTCGAGAGTAAAGATTAGAAATAGAGAAAGCAGCCAGAAAGCTATTTTCAGTAGGCCAGGTATGAGATGATGTGAGCTTCAACAGTGATGGTGGCACTGAGGATGAACTTAAGAAGTATTATGAAATTAGAATCAATTAGAAAAAGACTATTTAAGAGATCCCATGCATTCATCTTATCTTTGGCCTCCACTTCTCTCATGTTATCCTAATTTTTTTCTTCACACATTTCTGTTGAGCCATTGGAGTCCATCAACCAAGCATCTATTAAATATTTACTACGTGCCAGGCACTGTGCTAGTTTCTGTGGATGCAAATAATTAAACCATTCACATGCCCAAAGAGCTAACATTCTACCAGAATAGACAAGTTCATATATGAGTATATAGAGAATAAGTATGAAAGAGAATAAGGTCAAGATAGATAGGACTGCAGGGTACTAGCAGTTTCTGGAATCAGGAAAGAATTCACATAGAAGACAGTACTTAAGCCAAAGCAAGAGAGGAATTCTATGAGGCAGAGATGAGGAGTGAGTTCAAATGAAGAGAAACAGGAGATAAGAGTGCTCTGCATTAGGAACAGCAAGAAGGTCAGTTTGACTGTCATATAGAGTGCAGATAAAAGGCTGGAAAGGCAGATTGAAACTAGGTTGTAAGAGGCTTTCAGGGGGAAACAGAAGTTTGTATTTTATCTTAAAGGTAAGAGGTAGCCATTGGAATTGATTAAGGGAATTAAGTGATCAAATCTGCAGTGAAGAAAAACCACTTGAATAACTGTTTGGAGCATGTATTATGTATGATGTGGACACTTGTAGCAGGCAGACCAATTAGGAGGAAAGTTTTGCAAATGTCTAGGCCAGAAATGATGTGGATCATGGAATCAGAAAGACCTGAGTTCAAATGTGGCCTCAGACACTTGACACTTAACTAGCTGTGTGACCCTGGGCAAGTCACTTAGCTCCGGTTGCCTTACTGGAAAAAAAAAGCCTTAGAAATTATGTGCATCTGAAATAAGGTGGTGGCTGTGTGAGTAGAAAGAAAAGGGATCAGATGCAAGAGATCTGGAAGAAGAAGAAACAATAAGATATAGCAAATGATTGGATATGTGGGCTAAAATGGCAGGAGGAGTTGAGGATAACTTTAAGGTTATTATATCTGGAAGACTGGAAGAGTGATGGTGCCTTTGAGAGAAATGGAGAATTTTGGAAGAGGGGTTGGTTTAGGTAATGAGTTGTTTTGGGCATGTTGAGTTTGAGACGTGTCTAAGACATCCAGTTTGAAATGTACAGTAGGTAGGTAGAGATGCAGGACTAAAGTTTAGAAAGAAACCTGGGCAGGACATATAAATCTGAGTCATCTGACTAGAGATGGTAATTAGACTCTTGGGAGCTGACAAGATCACCAAGAGATTATAGTGAGGAAAGGGAAGTGGGCCTAGGCTAGAACCTTGTTGAAAACCACAGTTAGTTGTGATATGGATGAAGAACCAGCAAAGGAAACTGAGAAGAAGTGGTCACACTGGTAAAAGAACCTGGAGAGAGTAGTGTCAGGAAAACCCATACAGGAGAGAAAATATCCAGGAGACCATGGTCAGTAATGTCAAATGCAGCACAAAAGTCAAGGACAGAAACTTTCTTGTAAACATTAAGATCCAGGATGAGGTTTTGGTTCTTGCTACAGAACTTTATGGCTTTAGGAAGAATCACTCCGCCCAGCCCCCTTCTGTATGTGAGTAGTCATTAAAATATCTGGAGTTCCTTGGTAGTATTGTGTCTATACACTTGGCACTTTTCTAGCTGAATCCGTAAATCTAGAATAAATACCCTGGAAAACAACTAGAACTCCTCGCTAACTGACGAACTAAAAGTTTTTCAGTAGCCATTGAAGGTTCTACCCTATCATACACTGAACATGCACTGCACTGGAGTCTTATACCTCCATGCCTTTGTTCAAACTTTTTTTTCTATGGTTAGAATGCTGTCTTTTTTCCTACTGAATTTCTTCTCATCCCTTAAAGCCAAAATCAGTTCCATCTCTGACCTTCTTCCCTGCTGCCACTGTTTGCCCTTGGCCCCCAGTTGTTTGCAAGTTCTCCCTTAGATCTCACTTATCACTTTATTTCATAATTCTCTAATCTATTTTTTCATGTAATATTATGCATTATAGCTATCTGCCAGGGTAAACTCTGGAAACAGAGTGGGGTAGTGGATTAAGAGCTGGCCTCAGAGTTCAGGGGACATAGGTCAAGTCCTGCTTTAAACTTTCAATACCCTAGGAACTCTCTAAGATTCTAAGTTGCAGGGAGAGCTCCCATCACTACAGTGGAGGAAACTTCCTTGTTAAGAATTTCCTGTACTGATGAAATCATAGGTTTAGTCACTGTCCCTCGGGCCCTCCCCTGCCATATTCTGGATTTTAAAAAATAGCTAAGTGACAATGTGCACAGTATATAGTACAAGTGATACACAACAGGTATAATAAATATTTATGAATAATAATACTAGCATTTATATAGCAGAGTGCTTTATAAATATTTTCTCATTTTATCCTCACAAGAGGTAAGTGCTATTACTACCATTTTACAGAGGAAACTGAGGTAGACAGAGGTTAAGTGACTTGCCCAGGGTCACACAGCAAATAAGTTGATGAGGTAGAATTTGAAGTAGATATTCCTGACTCCAGGTCCACTGTTCTATCCACTGCTGAATATAGCTGACTCTGATATAAGCAGAGCACAGCAACAGGGAAAATAACAAAATTTAGATAAAAGTCTCTGCCATCAAAGAGTTAAAAGTCTAATAGGGAGAGTTTACCTTAGCAGATAGCTATAATGCATAATATTACATGAGAAATAGATTAGAGAATTATGAAATAACTGGGGGACAAGCTTTTCTTACCTAGATAAGCCACCCTGTGACCTCATAGAGAGACAATTTTCTGGACCCTTTAGGGCCTTTTCAAACTCAGCTGAATATATTCACTATTTTTTTAAGTCTATCCAGCACTTAAATATATGCCATATGTACATACTCTTATCAGTGAAGAATGTTCTATAGAAAACCAGCTTGTCCCCTGGGGTAGCACAGCATTTACTCTTCCTGTCTCCACCTGTAAAGTTTGTATTTTCACCCTCTATTAGCCATAAAAGCTGCCTTCCTTCAGCAAAGTATTCCTTCATTACATTGCATCATCTCTGGGTGTAGGCAGTATGTAGCAAAATGTACTGGTGTCAGCATTGTTTCACCATTTCTGTAGGCCTCTTAGAAGCCTGTAGGCTGTTGTTAAAAGATGTGTGGGCTTTGCAATTCAAAATGTGATGAATTTTATTGTCAGAGTAGTTATCAAGGTAAACCACTAGCCTAGTCAAATTCCAGCTTGGGCAATGATGTTCTTCCACCTGAAATTTTTTGCAGTTTTACTTGGGCCTGTTGTATTTACAATAACCTCTTAGTACTGAAAGTCAGGTTGTACTTCAAAATTGCTATATCATATTTATATAATGTTTAGTAAATACCAGGACAGTTCTATATTA